TCTCTCCGTGGAAGATCCCGGCCCGGTTACCGTCGCCCCACGCTGACAATCATTTGTTTCTCTCTTCACCTCTTTGTTACATCGCACGGAGGCTGCCAGACCGTAAGTACGACATGACGTTTACAAGAAATCGAGCGAGTGAGCCTTAAAAAAAGACGCTCGAGCACATCTTCCGTTCAGGGAATCACCCCGTGGGCTCTGGATCCTGGCGGCTTCCTCTCAGCTGGGCTCGCGCCGCGTCAACTTCCGGGCGGGTGCCCGACTGCACGGCCTCCGCCGCTCCCCTTCTCTGGCCCCTTTGTGTCCCCGCCGTGTTGAGACTCGGGTCTTGGCACGTTTTCGTCGAGGCGGGGGCCTTCGCAGTGCAGAGAACCTTTTGCTTTTGGCGGGCGCGCGGCCAGCCGGGGGGTTAGAGTGGGGAACGTGCCTGCGCATGTTGGGGTAAGAGGAGGTTGCACGAGGGTCAGCTTGTGGCTCGAGGAAGGAGGGGCGGGGGACGAGGGGAGTGAAAAGAGCAGTGGAAAAGGAAAAAGATTCCCAGTCCACTTTCTGATCACCGTGGCCTAACAATGAGGCGCAGCCATTATAGTCATTCTGAGACACTGGCATATATGCAGGCTTTAAGAACGAACAACTGTGGCTTTGTATTATTTCATCCTCTCTTTTTCCCCCCTTCTTATTTCCATCCCGCAGATAGTTTATTCAAAGCCCCAACTCCACAGGGTGGAGGTTCTGCCATTATGAGTCTTTTCAACCTGGACCGTTTTCGCTTTGAAAAAAGAAGTAAGATTGATGAAACCCCCGAAGCAACCCCACAACCCTCCCAGCCTGGTCCTTCTTCACCAATTTCTCTTAGTGCTGAAGAGGAGAATGCTGAAGGGGAAATAAGCAGGGCAAGCACACCTGATTCAGATATAACCGAAAAAACAGGTGAGTTACAATGTTGCAAACTGATGTAGCAGTCAAAAAATATGTCCAAAAAATGAAAAGTAGGAAAGATCAAGCCTATATCTTATCGTTGCTCCATACATACAAACATTTTGTCTTCCATTGAGTCCATTTAAGAAAACTTTGAGATTGCAGTGGACCCTATTCACCCTCCAGTGAGTATTCAATCCATATTTATTTCGCTTTTACATGAGGTTCAGTATTGAAAGTTGAAGTTACTTGGTTCATCCTAATGGTGGTACTGCTGTTAAGTATTGGCCTACTAACATTAATTTCTTGGGTTGGAACCTACCAGCCTACTACTATGGAAGATACAGTTTCTACTCCGGGGAAGAAAGATACATTTTGCTCTTTAAAGAGTTACAACTTCAGAAACCCCCATTAAAGAGTTGTACTTTATCCTCCCTAGTAAGTGTCATTTGGAACTGAGAGAGGCAATGGATTTGGTCAAAATAGTTGCTATTAATAGTTGAGCCTTGGCCATTCAATCTATTGATACACCTTGGTCAGAAGCTCATTGCGATATTAGGCCTTCAAAAAAATATTGATCACCTACTTTAAGTTAGATCTTATACCTGGTGCCTGATGAAAACCACTGTGCAGAATGATCACATTCATATGCCACCACCTAATTCCACAGAGAGCAAATGAATCATTAGTATTCTCCATGATGATGAAACCATTTTTTTTACATTTTGAGCAAGTTATCACAGAGAATAGAATTTGAGGTAAAGTAGAAAATTAAGATTTTAATTTTAGTTTATAGTCATCAGAATTAACTGTCACTGACTGCCTTTGAGTTGAGCTTGGTGTTTAGAGACCTTCCATCAAGTTTCTGAAATGAAATCTTTAAGGGAACAGACTCTGTCTTGTGGAGAAACTAGTGGATTATAATGCTGACCTTTTGGTTAGTAGCCCAAAACATTATACACAATATACCAAAGCTCTAATGTTGACCTTTTGGTTAGTAGTCCAAAACATTATACACAATATACCAAAGCTCCTTAGTTAATGATTGTTAGATTGGAACTGACTCACAGTTGACCCTCTAGCAGATTTTCAGAGTCTATAAACTGCATATGGGGCAGCTAGTGGATTCAAACCCTTGCCTTTGAGTTGGCAGCAGAACCTCCAGTTAATGATTGTTGAGTGCTGTCAGGTTGGAACTGATAAGTAACTGACCCTCCAGTGGATTTTCAGAGGCCGAAAATCATGTAGGAGGAGATTATCCATATTTCCTCCTCAGAACAACTGGTGGATTCAAACCACTTGCCTTTGAGTTGGCAGCATAATTCCTTACCACTGGCTACCAGAGCTCCATTCCATAACAAGTCAGCAACTCGTTTCTGTTGTATTGGAACAAACTCACAGGTGACTCTGCAGTGGATTTTTCAGAGGCTGCAAGTATAAATCAAACTGGAGTAGATTGTCTTTCTCCCACAAAGCAGCTGGTGAATTTGAACCCTATTCCTTTGGATTGGGCAGCACACTCTTTACCCACTAGGCCACCAGAACTATTGAAAACTATTAGAGGTGTGTATATCAAATTTAATAGGTCTTGGGCATAGTGCTAAATGTTATTTATATATTCTTAGTTAATTCGCGAACAGGGTTAACGAGTTAATTGGCATTATCCTTATTTAGCAGAAATGAGACCTAGAAAGGTCAAATAACATAACTCTTGGTCAGTTACAAAGCTGGTAGGATCAGAAACAAAATCCAAGAAGTCTGATCCCAGACCATAAATTCTTACGCATTACATTCAATGGCAAAAAGCTTTGGTGGGAGAAAGATGGGCATTCTCCTCCTGTGCACCTTACTACCTCTGAAAACCTACTGTAGGGTCAGTTCACACTTGACAGTACACAACAATATTCTATGGGTTTTTTTGGGTTTTTTTATGAATTAAATTGATTACGAGGCAAACAATATTTGACAATTTAATGTTTATTTTGATAGAACCTTTTTCCAAATCACAGTAATTCACATACATTGTTTATTGTGACACTCCCTTTTGGTGTCCAAAATGGGGGAGCGGAGATTGTTTCCCACTAACATGTAATAATAATGTTTTTTTGGATCTTATTATCTACAAATCAGAATAGTTTTTCTAAACACTTTACTGGAATTTTAACATAGATTGGATTAGGAGGTAATTATAAGTCAAACATTGAAAGGTTTAACTGTTTTTAAGCTGTGGAAAATCCACTGAAGGATATTAAAACACCAGTGACCTATACTTATTTCTGCAACAGATGATATATTTTCATTGTAGTTGTTGTTGTTATATCAGTATTTAGATGTTTTTCTATTTCTTACAGTGAGTATTTTTTAGTGAGTGTTTTTAAGGTAATAAGAACAAGGAAAGCCAAGAAATAAGTTCAGAATTTTGAGATTTTATAAGCCTCTGCTTCATCTTAGTTACATGTGTAACATTAGACAAGTCACTTAAAATCTGAGCTCTGGAGTTTACTCACTCTGGTGGCTTAGTGGTAAAGACTCGTAGTGCCTACCCAAAGGCATGTAGCTTGAATCTACCAACTGCTCCACCAGAGAAAACTGGACAGTCTTTTTGTGGGATTCATAGCTTCTGAAAACCTGCTAGAGGGTCAGCTACAAATCTTTTCTAACTTGATGGCACATAATAAAAATATTTTGTAAACTAGAATTCAATGGAATGCTTTTGGGTTTTGGTGATATTGATAATATGAATTGTGGGGGTAGTTTTTTCCCATCTCACTTTTTATTGTGATTTTTTTTTGTTATAATATTGTGCTGTCAAGTTGGAACCAACTCATAGCTGATCCTTCCGTGAGTTTTCAGAGGTAGTCAATCATATGGGAGGAGATTGCCCATTCTTCTCTTACAGAGCCTAATTAGCAGGAATCAAACTGCATGCCGTTGGGATTGCAGCATATTTTCTTACCTCTAGACTAAGTTTTCCATTCAACTATTCCTACACATTTTGTTTTATGACATTTACTTCATTTAAGTGGTGGGCAGAGGAAGGGAGAACAAAGAAAAATATCAGAGATGACTAGAATAGTAATAGGAAATGATAGTTTCCCGGAAACCACAGTCAAAAGAATGTTCCAGTTTGATACATTATAAGCAGTATCAAATGTTACACAGAAGTCATAATTGGATGAGGACTTAGGAGAGAATACTTTTCTTTGGAAGTTATAAGGGTCCTGTTGACCTTTAAAAGATAGTTTTAGCCACATTATGAGGAGGTATAGACAACTCCTTGAAAAAGAAAAGTGCTAATTTGTCAAGGATGAAATGTCAAGAAAAAGGTAAATGTTTCAGGATTATTGAAAATTGAGTATATTTATTGGCCAAAATAAATGTAGTCATGAGATGGAAAGGATGAAGAGAGCTATCAAGGTGATAAGAATTGGACATTGCTGGACTAGAGAGCTTCTAAGACAGTATTATATGCTGTGAAATTAATTTTGACTTACTGGCAGCTTTATGTATGCAAAGTAGAACTGTTTCACAGATCTTTGTGCATTCTGGAGCAGATCTTCCAAGATGTCTCTCCGTGTGGTCAAACCAACATTTTGTCTTACATTTGAGTGTGCCACCATGGAACTCCTATTGCAAAGGAGGATTCACCTTTTAATTAGGATAGAAAAATGAAAAATACAAGGATTGGCGCCTAAGTGCTAGGAATGAAAGAACACTTTTAACTTCCTTTTCTTGATGAAAAAGATTTAGTCCTCTAATATAGTTGTCACTTAAATGTGGCTGCCAGCTTAAAAAAATAACACTTGTCGTTGTTTTTATGTTATGTGCCGTCCAGTTGCTTGTGACTCATAGCGACCCTACGTACAACAGCCCTAAACTCTACTCTGTCCTGTGCCAATCTCACTCTCTATTACACCCAAACCAGTTACCCCAGTCACTGAATCAATCCACCGCATAGAGGGCCTTCCTCTCCTGCACTGTCCCTCTCCAAGGACTAGTCCCTCCTTACAACATGTCCAGAGTATGTTAGACGAAGCCTCAGAATCCTTGCCTCCAAGGAGCTGCCCAGTTTAACCCTCTCCAGGATGAATCTGTTTGTTTTTCTAGCAGTCCATGGTACCCGCAACACTCTTCTCCAGAGCCACAGCTCAAAGACATCAATTCTCCTTCTGTCCTCCCTAGTCATTGTCCACTCTCCGTGATTGCAGAGACCATGGCCTATCAGATGCACCTTTGTCTCCAGAGAGACACCATTGCTCTCCAGAACTTTGGAGAGGTCCTTAACAGCAGACTTTCCCATCGTAATATGTCTTTTAATTTCCTGGCTACTGGTGCCAAGAGTGTTGACTGTGGAGCCAAATTAAAGCTGTGAACAATCTCAATCTCTTCACCATCCATCCTAATGCTGCCAATTGGTCCAGTGGTAAAAATCTTTGTCTTCCTGACATTGAGCCTCAATCCATACTGAAGGCTACAGTCCTTGACCCTCTGCAGCAAGCACTTCAGGTCCTCCTCAGTTTAAGCAAACAGGGTTGTGTCATGTGCATAATGCAGATTGTTGATAGATCTTCCACCAGTCTTGACCTCACATTTCTCATCATAGAGTCCAGCCTTCCAGATAATCTGTTCAGCATATAGGTTGAAAAGGTATGGAGACAGGACACATCCCTGGCATACACCCTTCCCAATTTTGAACCATGCAGTGTTTCCTTGCTCTGTTCTGACGACTGCCTCTTGGTCCAAATTTAGGTTCCACATTATCATGATCAAATGTTCTGGGATTCCCATTCTTCTCAGAGTCAGCCACAGTTTGTTATCCTCCACACAGTCAAATGTCTTTGTCAATTTAACACTGGTAGACATTACTCTGGTATTCCCTGCTTTCAGCTAAGATCCATCTATCATTAGCTACAATATCTCTAGTGCCATGACCCCTTCTAAACCCAGCCTGGACTTCTGGCAGTTTTTTATTGATGTGCTGTTCCTGTCGTTTTTGGATGATGATCAGTAGA